GGGGCGGCCTCTGGGCCGGGGGCGGGGCCAGCAGCTGCGGGGCCGGCACCCGGGAGGGGACTCAGAGCGGTGGTGGCCGGAGTTCGGAGCGGGTACCCGCCAGTCGCCTGGACCCCGGGCGGCCCGGGGCGCAGAGGCGGCGCCACCCGCGCTGGTCCCGTCGCGGCGCTCAAACTCCGCGGAGGAAGAGACGGTGAGGCTGGGGATGTCGGCGGAGGGGGTGGGAGGGGATCCTCGGGCGCAGCCCTCAGCATCCCCTGACTGGCGGGCTGTGAGGGCGCAGGCGACCGCAGCGGCTTCCTACTCCCAACCGGCTCCACAGGGTGGGGCGAGCTGACCTGGACGGGTTCCACTGACTTCTATGCCCCGACACCTCCTCGGGTCCCTACCTCGGAGAGACCCCCTTTATCCGCATCCGCTCTCCTTCGCAGTCAAGCCCCTTCCGATCCAGGCTACAGTTCTCTGCGCCCCTATAGGATGCTGCGCCGCAGGGAAAAGCCCGTGACCCTTTCTGCTCCCCTTCCCGGCCCTCCCCTGCCCCCCTTATTGGCCTGGGATACCTATAGGACGCTAGCCCTTTAAACCTTTGCTCCCCGCTCAGCACATCTTGGGCGCTCCACCCGCGCCGCTTCCGACAGCTGGCAGCTACGGGGAGCCCCGGGGAGCCGGCAGGTACTCGGGCGTCGGTGGGGCTGCGGAGCGGGTGATGGAACAGCTGTGCCCGGCCCCCCCCCCTTGCTCTCCCTCCGCCCCCAGAGGGGCAGGCAGCGGGACTGCTGGGCGCCGGGAGAGCAGGTTAATCATTAACCCTCGGCTTTCCGAGCCCCGGCTTCCCAGGTAACGGGCGAGGATGCCCATTTTGCCATCGTCTCAACTTCCTCCCTAACTGCATCCCCCTCTCGGCGCCCTCCTGGGCCACCTGTCGGCCCAGCTCGAGCTCAGGCGCCTTGTGCCCTTGCAGCCCCTGCGCCACAGGGCCCCAATGAGGCTCTTGCCGTAGCTCCCGGGAGGGCAAGCTGGGGGCGCCCTGGCCTCACCTCGTGCACCCCTTCATCCAATACCCTTCCCCCAGGGCCGGCTGACTGGCACCATGCCCGGCCTGTACTGCCCCTCCAGCTGGACTCCCCTGCCCCTCACGGACTCCTGGGTGCGGGCCTACACCAACGGCCCCTGCCTCAGCCTGCTGGCCCGGCTCACCTACCGCAACCCGCAGCCGCAGCCCGTGGACGGTGAGGCGGGGCGGGGCGGCGGGCGGCGGGGCGCGGGCACCGGGCGGGATCCGACGCCGCCTCCCGCGCACCCGCAGGAGTGTTCGTGTACCCGCTGGCTGAGGCCGAGGTGGTATCGGACTTGGAAGCCGAGGCGGCCGGACGGCGCGTGTCCCTCCAGCTGCAGAGCCGGAGCAGGTCTCAGGCCGCCTGCTGCCGCGCGCTGGGCCCGGGCGCGGGGGCAGCCACTCCTCGCCGCTGCGCGCAAGGTGAGTTCTGCGCGCGCGCTCCGCCCATCAAGACCAGCCAGCCGGCAGCCGCCGCGGGTTCCCGCACCTGCTCTGCACCCTGCATCTACCCACCTTGGGCTGCTGCTTTCTCGTTCACATTGGTTCATGCCTTTATTCAGCAGTTGTGGACTGGGTAACTGGCGTGTACCAGGTGCTGGGGGGGATGTGACCCAGGCCTGACCTGAGGTTGCCAGCCAGGGAAACAGACAGACCAGGCTGCATAGACTTTTGGCCCTTTGACTGCCTAAGTGACCATAACTTACGCCTGGGTGCTGCAAAGGCAGCGGTCGCCCAAGCTGCCCCCTCCTTTTTTCCTTGAAAATGGGTCATTTCTCCAGGTGTGAGCCTCCTCCACCTAACAGACAAAGCCCTCACCGCCATTCCATTTTGTCCTCCCAGGGAGGTACCACAAGCAGGACCACACTGACCATCCCCAATTCCCCACCCTCTTCACTTCTCTCTTCTCACCCCCAGCCCCCTACTCCTCCACCCTGCTTTTACCATCTCCTAGATTCTTGTTAGCAAACTTCCACTACCTCTTTAAGACACACCCAGGTGTTTCTCCTTGGAAAACCCTCCCTGACTCCTCCACAGATAATTGATCATGCTTTTCCCTTGCTCCCCAGCTCTCTGGCTCTCTGTGCAACCTCATTACAACACCAACCTCATTACAACACCTCCCTGGTAGAGTCATTGTCTCAGACCCTCAGCCTGTCCACCCCTCTGCAGCCCTGGCTTCTGAGCCTAGATCAAAGTTTTGGTCATCTTTCAGTTCAAGTACCTAGCACAAAGGGGTTCCGTGAGGGCTGAGCCGTGGAGTAGAAGTCTCTGTTCACCTGGTTATGCCACATGTACTCCATCCTCTCCTTTTCATCCATTCGATACCTGCACAAGGAATTTATTAAGAAAAGGACAGGAATCCCTGGAGGTGAGAGTTTGCAAAAGTCGGCGCAGGATAGAGCAGAGTTTAGGGCTGTTGTACATAGGGTCACTATGAGTTGCAGGTGACTAAACGGCACATAACAGTGTAAACTGTGTTGAGGCCCAGAATGTTCCAGAAGGAAAATGGAGCTTGTGTTTGACTAAAAAGAAGAGTAGAATTTGGTTAAATGGAAAGATAACTCTGGCAGGGACTCAAACAAAGTGATTCAAACAAAGATTTGTAAGTAGATTTGTTGTTTATAGATGTCATTGAGTCAGAACAGACTCAGCTGAGCCTCCAGCAGGTTTCCAGAAGCTGTAAATGGCATAGGAGGGTATTGCCCATCTTTCTCCTTGGAGCTGATGGTGGATTCAAACCATATGCCTTTGGATTGTCAGTGCAACTCCTTACCATTAGACCACCAGAGCTCCTATAAATACCTCGTATTGTACCCAAACCCAACCCACTGCCTTTAACTCAGCCCTGATGCAAAGTGATCCTACAAGACATGGTAAAACTGGCCCATAGAATTTCCAAAACTATTAATCCTTGCAGAGGCAGATTGCCACATCATTTTCCTCTCAGCATGGCTGGTGGTTTTGAACTGCCAACCTTTGATTACCACCAGGGCTCCTTTTATACTGAGCAAGCTTAATAAACTCATATCCAGTTTAGTTTAGGACTCCTGAGTCATTAACATCACCTCATTTACATCCAAGAGATATACATCACAAGTCCTCTTTTGTTGTTCTGTATCATCAAGTGGAATTGACCCATAGCTGATCCTCCAGCAGATTTTCAGAGGCAATAAATCACATGTTCATCTTTCTCCCACGGAGCAGCTGGTGGATTTGAACTGCATAACTTTGTGTTGGAAGCACGGTGCTTTGCCCCAAGCCACCAGAGCTTCCTTGGTAATGAAAATAATAGTAATCATTACTCCCTGTATATTAAACCTCCTGATCTTGAGTTAATTATGACTCATAGTGATCTTCCATTTGGTTTCTGAGCTTGTCCGTAAATCTTTTGAGAAAAGACTGAACTGCCCACTTTTCAAAAAGCAGCACAACGCGTGATGCATCGCACCACCAGAGAGAGCGCCTTCATTCTTTATCTCTGTATATTATTATATGTTGGTTGGTTAGCACCCACAACCTCATTTATTCTTCACTGAAATCTATGAGGTTATTAGAATACCCAGCTTGCGGACAAGAGAATGGAGCCTACTTAGAACTTAGAACCAAAAAAAAGTTACCAAAATATATAATCAGAAGTCACCAAGATGCAAACCTCGTTCTGTGCTCTCCTCACCAAATCAAGCTGTCTCCAAGCCTCAGCTGGCTGAATCATCGCCTCTTCCCTCTTCTTTCCTTTCCATTCCTTTCAGCTTTTTTCTACTCTTCATTTGCTCAGCAAGTACTTCTTAAATGATGAATACGTGATTATGGTGGAGAAGTAAGGCTGGTTAGGAAGGTAGGAGGGCCAGACACTGCAGGACCTTAGCTTCCACTGTACCCAACTGTTAGCAGCAGTGACCTCAGTAAGTCCACCCGTCCCCAAAGGAACCTACAATCCAAGTCAAAATGGACATCAATGTAGCTTCACGTCCTGCTTCCAAACTGATTGTTGAGCCTAAGGTCCTCCTGAGGAGAGGTCCTGGAGTCACTTGTAGTGGACAGTTGTGAAGCTCCTGAAGATTCATGAGCAGGGGGGTTAGTGAGCAGAGCTAATCCGGGCTAGAGGGAAATGTCGGTTCCTATAAAAGGACCTGTAGGAAGGTGGTACCCCATAGCCTCTGTCCTTGCTTGTTCCTGTGGTCAGGGACAGGCAAGGACAGAGGCTATGGGCCCCACCTGGAGATGGTATGGCCATGTCCCATAACCACCCTTGTCATTCTCAACCTTCTATAGCAATGATGTCACTGCTCCCCTTCCTGATGACAGCCAGCTCCTGCCACGATCAACCGTCCTCTCCCTCCACACTTACTCCTCACGCCTCCAACCTGCATCACCAAACCATTAGCCCAGAGCCCACTCACTCACAGTCCTTTCCCAGACTCCCCCAATTCAGTGCTCACTCTAGCTTCCCCATCTCCTGTCCATTTGAGCCCCCCTGACCCGTGCCCCATCTCCTGTCCATCTGAGCCCCCCTGACCCGTGCCCCATCTGCCCATCTGAGCCTCCAACCTGTGCCCCGTCTCCTGTCCATCTGGACTCCTGCCCTTCTGAGCCCCCCGACCCGTACCCCGTCTCCTGGCCATCTGAGCCCCCCACCCCATGCCCCGTCTCCTGTCCATCTGAGGCCCCGTGCCCCATCTCCTGTCCATCTGAGCCCCCCTGCCCCATGCCCCGTCTCCTGTCCATCTGGACCCCCTGCCCCGTCTCCTGTCCATCTGAGGCCCCGTGCCCCGTCTCCTGTCCTTCTGAGCTCCCCTGCCCCATGCCCCGTCTCCTGTCCATCTGGACCCCCTGCCCCGTGCCCCGTCTCCTGTCCATCTGAGCCCCTGTGCCCCGTCTCCTGTCCATCTGAGCCCCCCTGCCCCATGCCCCATCTCCTGTCCATCTGAGCCCCCATGACCTGTGCTTCGTCTCCTGTCCTTCTAATGCCCTCTGACTCTTTTTCTCCCTCACCGTAGGTCACCTTGTCTTGGATCTGGCCCAAGCCCGGTCCACACTGGTGCTGCCCACAGGCCTCATCGCTGCGGCCGGCACCATGACAGTGACCCTGCGTAGCAGCCGGGAGCTGCCCTCAAGGCCTGACGGGGTGCTGCATGTGGCCCTGCCCTCCGTGCTCACCCCACTGGCCCCGCCAGGCCTGCCAGGGCCCCCCAGGTCCCCGGGGCTCTGTGACGACAGGTTGGGCCTATGGTGATTCTCTCCATCCCTCCTTCGGCTTCTCTGGGTCTAGTGCGGGTGAGGGGGCTCTGGCTGGGTGCCTAGAGGGTGGACAGGGAGGGGAAGAGGGTGGAGGGGTCTCCGGGTGGCTCAGTAACCCTCCTTGTACTCCCTTCCAGTCCAACCAGCTGCTTTGGGGTGGGCAGTCCCCAGGAGGAGGGGCTGGCCTGGGAGGAGCCCGTTGCCCCTCGGGACGTGTTCTCAGGCCCTGCTCGCTGCCCTGCCCCGTACACCTTCTCCTTCGAGATGCTGGTCACTGGGCCGTGCCTGCTGGCAGGTGGGTGCAGCTTGTCCACATCACAGTAGAAAGGTCTTTTCAGACGTCCTGACCTTAGCAGGGCTGCTGACTGAGAAGTGAAACAAGACTTGGTGATGGGAAGGGGGAAAGTCAAGAATCGAATCCTTGGGCCCTCCAGGCTAACAGTGGGGGCACCCAGCCACTTCTGCTCAGCACACACCCTTCTAGGTTTCCCAAATTAATGTCCTTCTATCCTATTCTGCTCACCCATGGGAGTGGAGATGCTTACAACAGAATCAGTCCATTTGATGAAATGGGTTTTCTTTCTACAAGAGGAACAGAGGGGGACGCCAAGTCAGCAGCTGGGTGTGTGAATCTTTGACTAGCCAGGAGCAAAGATGGGTGTCCTTCTTCCAGCCTAAGAAGAGACAAATGCCTTTCCTTCTGACCCATAGATGAGGCTCTGAGAGTTGGCTCAGCTGAGGCCTCTGCCATGTGGGCTGTTGTCTGGGAAGATGATGTTTGTGTTCGTAGTATCCACTTAGAGAGAGGGCGACCGTCACCGCTCACTGGATCTTTGTCCCTCAGGCCTGGAGAGCCCCTCTCATGCCCTGAGGGCAGATGCCCCTCCTCACGCCAGCTCGGCAGCCACTGTGTGTGTCACCCTGGCAGAGGGCCACCGCTGTGATCGAGCACTGGAGATCCTGCTGCATCCCAGTGGTGAGGGACCTGCCTCTGGACCACCTGGGTGGCATCTTCCAAGTACAGGTGTCTGGGCCCCAGATTGAACTGAGTCATCTGTGAGAGTGGACCTGGTGTGCAGAGAAGCTAGATCTGCAAGGGCTTCCCTAGATGCTCGAATTAGGCAGCTGGGGTCCAGAGACAGGAATTCCCTCTCTGATGGAGCTGTCCCCCACTTCCACCTCTGTCCCCAGAGCCCCACCAGCCGCACCTGATGCTGGAGGCTGGCAGCCTGAGCTCAGCAGAGTATGAAGCCTGGGTGAGGGCCCGCCGGGACTTCCAGAGGCTGCAGCACAGGGACAGTGATGGGGACCGACAGGTATGCCTGCGTGGGGGCCTGCCGGCCACACTGATGCACAAAGAGCTGTCAGTAGTGTTGGGGCCTCTGCCAGCAGCTGCCACCCATCATCACTGAGCGCAGATGAGTTTGTCATGGGGGCCTTGCAAGTCTGCCTGGCATGGTTCTTAGAGGATCAGGACAAAGTCTGACATCGGCAGAGGGTGGCCACCTGTGCCTGGTCCTGGAGTTACAAAAGGGTGGGTGAGAGAGAAAAGGACTCCAGAGCTGGGGCCCGGGCCTGCTGCTGACGCTGCTCAGAGCTGCAGTGAACCTGGCTCGGGGTGACGAGGGACTCTCCGTGCTCAGGTGTGGTTCCTGCAGCGACGTTTCCACAAGGACATCCTGAGGAACCCTGTTCTGATGCTGAGTTTCTGCCCAGACCTGAGCGTTAAGCCCGGACACCTGGGCACAGCCACACGGGAGCTGCTCTTCCTCCTGGACGGCAGTGTCGTGGCTCACAAGGCATGTGGGGCAGACCTTGGGCTGGTGGGGCAGAAGCCAGGCCTTCTGAAGATAGACTTTGCCCTGTTGCTTAAAACATTCATCTCCCAATGATGAAACAGGCGGGCAGCTCCTGAGGAGGATTCTTTTGGAGAGCAGCCCTAGCCTTCAAATTAAAACATACAGTCTTTGTTTTTCTCTCTCATCCTCATAGCCTCACACAGACCGGCAGTGTCTTCCACATTCCGAGAGTCTCATACATGGGATCCCATATTCAGTCATACACCCGGTTACAGACTATCCAGGACTCACACACACATCCCACAGTCATTCAGTCGCTCATTCTCACACATACAGACACAATCACAAAGCCTCTCACTCTCAGAGATTCATCCAAGCTCCTGGAGTTGCTCTCACTCTCACTCGTCCCTCTAGGTCTTCCCCTCATCCTCTGAATCCCTCCCCCATCCCCTGAGTCTCTGCATGCACCTTCCAATATTTCCCCTCAAATGCCCTGGGGTTCCCCCTCATACACCCCTCCTAGTCCCTCTTATAGCCCCCAAGTCTCCCCTTCATACCCTCTAAGCTCCCCTTTATAGCCTCTGAGTCTTTCTGCTCACACCCCCAAATCTTTCACCTCACACCAAGTCTCTCACTCCTCCTCTCTCTCACACACTACCTCCCTCACACCCCACGCCTCTACCGTACACCCCCAGTCTCACACACCTAGGCTCGGTCATAGTCAGTCTTTCTCACATGTAACTGTGGTTTCACACACACTATCTCACATGTGGGGTCTCTCCAGATTACCTCATTCTGCCCTTGGATTTATCTGTGAAGCCAGGACCTGGGGAGGGCACACAGCCTGCGGCCCCTTGCTCTCCACCAGTCTCCTGAGTGGTGCCTTTGGGGCTTTCCTCATGCTGCCTTTCCTGATTCTCCTCAGGATGCCATTGTGTTGGCTGTGAAGTCTCTCCCACCTCAGACACTTGTCAACCTGGCCACGCTTGGCATGACTGTGCAGCCCCTCTTCCCAGAGAGCCGACTCTGCAGTGATGTGAGTGCGGGCCCAGGATCTGGGAGGCTAACGGGGACATTTCTGCCCATATGTGGCAGCGTGGCTCAGCCTGCAGCTTCTCATTCCAGGACACCGTTCAGCTGCTCTGTGAGAGTGTGGAGGGCTTGCAGGCCACAGGCAGCACCCCGGATGTGCTGGCCGGGCTGGATTGGGCAATGGGGCAGCCCCAGCACAGGGCCCACCCCAGGCAGCTGTTTCTGCTCACCAGTGCTTCGCCCACAGCTGCCACTACCCACCAGACCCTGGAGTTCATGCGGTGGCACAGGGGGACAGCCAGGTATGGGGTGAGTAGAATTGGGTGGGAAGTAGAGACTCACCCCGGACTCCTCATAGCTACCTCTCCTCCCTGGGCAGGTGCTTTTCCTTTGGGCTGGGGTCGGCCAGCCGCCAGCTGCTCCAGGGACTGTCTGCTGTCAGCCGAGGCCGTGCCTGCTTCCTGAGCTCCGGGGAGAGGCTGCAGCCTGTGGTGAGCTTGGGTCCAGACCCTGCATCCTCCTCCTGGAAGGCCTCCTAAGTTCCGCTATATATGGAATCTGAACTAGAACCCAATCTGGCCACGGAGTCCTCCTGATTGGCTAGGACTTACCCATTCCATTGCATCCTCTCCCCTGAGATACAGCCAGGAGAGGAGCTGCCGGTACTCTTGAAGAGGCAGGTGGCGAAAGGTGTGGGGCATGTCTGTGATCACCCCATGTCTTATTGTCAGTTTCGAGCCATAACAGAGCCTCATCCCTGAGAAGTATTACCTCATCCATGGGACAAAGCCAGCCCAGGAGAGCCCAAGGACTGCTCCATCCATTCACGGGCCTTGCCCCCATTCCTTCTAACCCCAGCCTGGCTCTGGTCCCCATCAGTCCAGGGGCTGGGCAGGTGCCAACACGGGAGGGCTGCTTTTCTGATCTCTCCAGCCGTGTGACACCTCTGCCATGTCCCGTCTTGGCTGTCCCCACAGCTGGTGCAGGCTCTGCGGAGGGCGCTGGAGCCAGCTCTGAGCGACATCTCGGTGGACTGGTTTGTGCCCGATGCTGTGGAGGCGCTGCTGACACCCCGGGAGATCCCGGCACTCTATCCAGGGGACCGACTGCTGGGTTACTGCTCCCTTTTCAGGGTGGACAGTTTCCGCTCCCGCCCGCCTGGGGTAGGCCTGGGCTGGGGTGCTGGAGGCTGGCCGGGATGGCCTTTCACCCCTGTGCCTGTCTCACAAGCTCCTACCACCATGCCCCTAAGCCACCCCAGAAGTCATGCTGGGCCCCCAGGTGACTGGATCCTGTCCCTCTTATGGGGTCTTCCACTGAGTTGTCCCATAAAATGCAACTCCTGGCTTTTATCAAAGGTGTTAATAGCACCAGCCACAGGAAACAGCTCCAGTGTTTGCTGTGAGGTTTTTGTTAAAACTGTTGTCCATTTCTTCACGCCATGCCCTGTGAGAAGCACTCTATAAAATATTTCCCTAAAACATCTCACAACAGATACAGGATGGCTCAGATGAAATCGCAAACCCAAACTCACATGCTAGCTTTTCATTCTGGAGAAATTTTTTGCCTGTCCTCTATCTATCTATATATCCCCCATCCATGTGATTGTTGTTGTGTGCTAGAGAGTGGGAACTGATTCTCCAGAGAGTTTTCAGAGGCTGTAAACTACAGGAGGAGATTGCCCATCTTTCTGCTACAGAGCAGGTGGTGGTTCGAACCACCTGGCTTTGGGTTGGTAGCGTAGCTCTTTACCTCCTGGGCCCCCAGCGGGTTGTTGTTATTAGAAGTCCTAACTTGAGTCCTCCTCGTAGAGCACGTAAACACATAGGAGGAACTTGGTACATGGTAATTTTTCTAGGGGAAGTTTTTTAGTCTCTAGTCTAAGCATGCTTCCTCCTTGTTGATCGTGAGAGCTGTATTCTGTGTTTCCCTCTTTGCCTGGCTGCCAGGAAGCTCAGAGATATGAAGCTCAGCCCCAGCAGCCCTGTTAACCCTTATGCTTGGCACAATTGCTTTCTCCTCCCCTCATCTTGCCTGTCCTTTCTGGTTTAGTTAACACTGTTGCCTCTTGCTGTGAGCCATCTTAGTCCTGTTGGCAAATAAGTGGTACCTACCTACAGTCAGATTTTTTTCAATGATTGTTCTCTCCCTAGGGCCAGGAGCCCGGCTGGCAGAGCTTGGGTGGCTCTGTGTTCCCGTCACCAGAGGAAGAGCCATCTGCTGCCAGCCTTGGCACTGAGCCCACTGGCACCACAGAGCCACCAGGGACAGGCACAGTGTCAGCAGAGCTGTCCAGCCCATGGGCTGCTGGGGATTCAGAGCAAAGTGAGTGTCTGAGTGTACATGTGCAGGGCTGTGTTGGAAGAGGAAGAGGATTAGGTAGTGAATGAGGCCAGGATCTAGGTCCATTCTCCTGCCTCCCATCAGGTACTGATGTTCTGACGGACCCAGCCACAGATCCTGGACCTAACCCCTCCTCTGACACAGCCATATGGCGCCGCATCTTCCAGTCCTCATACATCCGGGAGCAGTATGTGCTCACCCATTGCTCGGCCAGCCCCGAGCCAGGTCCAGGCTCCACTTGCAGCAGCGAGTCCCCTGGCTCCCAGGGCCCTGGCTCCCCTGAGGGAGGTGCTCCCCCGGATCCCCCTTCTCAACAGGGCTGCCGCAGTCTAGCCTGGGTAGAACCAACGGGTACCCGTTCCTGCCCCCTGCCTGCATCCTCAACGGCTTCATTTAAGGTGAGACTCAGCAACCCTTGACTGCTAAACAAAAGGTCAATGGTTTGAACCCACCATCAGCCATGCGGGAGAGACCTGCCAAGTTGCTCCCGTAAATACAGCCTAAAAAACCCTAGTGGGCAGTTCTCCTGTGTCAGATAAGTTTGCTAGGAGTTGGAATCTGCTTAAAGCATGGACAACATATGCTGGACATTATGTAGTGGCTACAGAAGTCAGGTACTTTCCAGAGTACTGAAAAGCAACAATGTCAGTCTAGAGACTAAGGTGCGCCTGATCCAGGTCATAGTCTTCACAGTTTCTTGCTATGCATTAGAGAGCTGGACAATGACTAAGAATGACAGAAAAAGAATCAACGCCTTCGAGTTGTGGTGCTGGAGAAGAGTCTTGAACATACACTGGACCACCAAGACACAAATCAGTCTGTCTTGGAGAGGGTGAAACCAAGGTTCCCCTTGGAGGCTAGGATTTTGAAGCTCTTGTCTCACATACTTTGGGCACATGGCCAAGAGAGACTGGTCCTTGGAGGACATCATGCTCTGAAGGGTGGAAACACAGTGCAGGAGTGGGAGACCCCAGGTGAGATGGATTGATACAGTGACTGGAGCAATGGGGGTTGGTGAGTCGGAAATAATGAGACTGTCTCTGGACAGGGAAAGGTTCAGAGCTGCTGTACATAAGGTCACTATGGGTCACAGGAGACTCAATGGCACATAACAACAACAACAATGGGAAAATATATAACAGTGCTACCATGTTGCATTCAGATGAGCACATAAATGTGGTATTGTGGAGTGTTAGGGTGATTAGCTCTGTTTGAAGGCGTCAGGAAAGACTTCTTGGAAAAGGTGAAGCTAGTACCATTATCTCAAAGGGAAAACTGAAGTTAGTCAGGTTAAGAGGGAGCAGACATGAACACAAACACAGAGATAAGTAACAACTACAAATATGAAATGGAAATTGGAGCAAGATGACTCTAGGGAGAGGACTGAGGAGAGGTCCTTGTAGGAGCTTGCTCGTCCTTCTGAAGGGTGATGAGCGCCCCCCCAGGCGTTCCCGTAAAGGGGCCTGTGAGCAGTTACGTATGTGTGTGATGGCTGCAAGTGCTGCTCTTTGACCTGTGGCTCCCACTTTCTGCACACAGGGTGGACCTCTGAGTGCCGAAGGGCTGGGCCATCAGCGCAGAGCAGTTCTGGCTGGCCGAAGCCTCTCATCCCCCCTAGGCCAGACCAACCCAGCGCCTGGCCACCACCAGAACCCCTCTCTGGGTGCAGCACCAGATGGGTCAGGCCATGAGACAGGGCAGCCATTGGGACAGGGCCTGGATGACTCAGGTAAGGGCCAGGAAGGAGCCACCCTGACACAGAGATTGCCCTGGCCACCAGCACACTCCTGATGTCCTCTCTCCCCAGGAAACCCCCTCTCGCCAGCCCCCATGGAATGGGACATGTTGATGGAACCCCCTTTCTTATTCACGGCCATGTCCCCCAGTGAAGAGCCAGCCCCTTCAGCATTAGCAGTGTCTCCCCAGGCTCCCCGCTGCCATGTGGTGATCCGGGGCTTGTGCGGTGAGCAGCCTATGTGCTGGGAGGTAGATGTGGGGCTGGAGACATTGTGGGGGTCTGGGGATGGATCACAGCCTCCATCAACTTCTGAAAGAGAAACGACTTGGGACCAAGCACTGCACCGGCTGACAGCGGCCTCGGTGATCCAGGACAATGAGAAGCTGGCTCTCCGAGGAGGGGCTGAAACTATCGCTGACAGGGGTAAGCTCCATGGGGCAGAGAATGCCAGAAGTGGTCTCTGCTGGGCCACTCACTTCCTCACCTGGGTCACAAAGGATGAGGTGGTGCCCTCACAGCGACAAGATAAATGAAGAAAGGTAATAGGAAGAGAAGCTGAGAGGAAGCTAGAACTTAAGGTAAAGACGCACACCATGGGGTTATGTACCCTTGCTAAACGTGGGACCCAAAACTGGAAAGCTTCCTCACAGCCATAACAGAAGGAAACGTGATCTTGGAATGATTCACAGTTCCCATAACATAAAAAACAAATCTGTTGTTTAGGAAGACTATTAAATTAAACAGAGCTAAAAATTCAGTAATTCAGTTCTTCAGTTGCACTAGCTACATTTCGAGTGCTCCACAGTCCTGTGTAACTGGTGGCCACCATAATGGATATCTCAGATCTAGAATATTTCCATCATCACAGAAAGTCCCTTTGAAAGGGCTTAAATATGTAGAAAGAAAAGCTACGAGTTGATGCCTCTTCTGGGTAGGGACCGAACTAGTGAATTTCCAGGTAGGCTCTTGTGAATTGGGGGCTCAGCTTGACCACTTGTCAAAGTGGTGGAGTCCAAGTTGGTGTGGACATGTGATCCACGAGAAGGTTCAATGGCACACCAGAAAGCTGTGAGGAGGGGTGAGATTGTCTTTGCCAAAGCCCTGCCAGGGGGTGGTGGTGGGCCTTCCCCTGTCTTTCAGCAGGCTGCTCCTGTGTTTCTCAGGCCCTGCCCGGAGGTCCTGGCTCCGAGCCCTTCAGACAAGCAAGGTCAGCTCTGCACCATCCTGTTTCACCTGCCCTGTAGCTGTAGATGCTGCCACCAGAGAGGTCCTGCCTGGTGCCGTGCAGGTGTGGACGTCAGGTAGAGTCCCTTTCCTGGGAAACCTCTCTTATGTGGGTCTGGACATTCAGTTCCGGAGGGCGAGCCTCCAGGGCAAGCCTGGCCCCCTTTTACTGTGTCCTAGCAGAGCCAGCCCAGCTCCCCGTCACTCCGCCGGCCTCTCAGGGCTCTCTCGATGCAGCCCAGCTGCCCCCAGCGGCCCACTCGCAAGGTAGCACCCCAATATGGGAAAAGGGTAAGAGGAACCACTCTGTAGAAACCACTCACTGGCACTGTTTGGCCTCACTGCAGGACTTGAAGCAGACTCTACTGCAGGCGCCTGGGATCCGAACCAAAATGGTGACTCCAGGCCTGGGCTGGGTGACTCTGCGGCCCCCGCTGTTGGTCCTCACTGCTCATCCCTCCAGCCTCTCTCTAGGCTCAGCCTGGGCCGCCGGAAGCTCAAGGGTTCTGACAGCCGCAGGCTCTGCAGCCCTGAGGAGGACCAGGCCAGGGCCGCTGACCCTGAAAGCAGCCACCATGACTACCTGCCTCTGGTGAGGACTCGGGAGGTGGAGGGGGCTTCGCCTGGGTGAGGACAGCGGCTCACTGGCCTCTCCCCCCACCTCCTCTCTCCTCAGGTGCGGCTTCAAGAGGCCGCGGGGTCCTTCCGCCTGGATGGGCCCTTCTGCGCTGCGGTGCGCATCCCGCAGGAGCGCCTGTGCCGCGCCTCCCCCTTTGCCGCGCACCGTGCCAGCCTCAGCCCGACCTCGGCCTCATCCCCCTGGGCCCTCTTGGGCCCCGGAGTGGGCCAGGACGACAGCACCACGGCTTCCCGCAGTCCTTCCCCCAGCTCGGGCCCTAAGGGCCCTGGCCAGGTGGACAACGGGCAGGGATCAAACGCAGGGCCCTCGGAGGGGGTGGATGGACCGGAGGGGGTGGATGGACCCGGACGCACTGACCTGCGGGGTCGGAGCTGGGCCACCGCAGTGGCTCTCGCGTGGCTGGAGCACCGCTGCGCCGCAGCCTTTGGTGAGTGGGAGCTGGCCGCTGCGAAGGCTGATTGCTGGCTGCGGGCCCAACACCTGCCCGACGGCCTCGACCTGGCTGCCCTCAAAGCAGCGGCTCGTGGGCTCTTCCTGCTGCTGCGCCACTGGGACCAGAACCTGCAGCTGCACCTGCTGTGCTACAGCCCCGCCAATGTGTGATGCTCCTCCACAGCCTGGAAGCCTCTGGTATCGCTCACAGTCTCACTTCACTGCCACCCGGGCGGCCTTTTGGTGCTGGGAAGGGGTGGGCCCGTGTGGCCTGCTCTCCACAGCTTCTCACCACCCCCTCCCAGAACACTACCGTCCCACATAAAGTGCCTGCCTGTGCTCTCTCCTGCTACTCCCACCCAATACTCTTCCTGGCCACCTCCATGCAGTGCAATGGAAAGGGAGAGAGCCACAGTCCCCAGACCCTATGCAATAAAGTGCCTCTTATCACTGTGTGAATGTGTTTCTGAGCAGGCCCCTGAAACCTTGTTTCTGCCAACACCCCTCTGGGGAGGCTGAACAGAGGTGGACTTGGCAAGGTTTATTGGGAGGGCACAGAGTCATTATCATCCAGGGTCCTCAGTGGCCTGGAGAGTAAAGGGTGGGCTTCAGTGGGCTTTTTTGCTGTGCTGAATGCTCTTAGAGAAAGGCTGGGGGCCCAGCCAGAGCTGCAGCAGTATGACTGCATGGCACAGATGCAGGGCCGCCGAGCTGAACGACGTGGATGGGTATGTGTTCCAGGAGAGCTCAATGAGCCCCAGCACCAGCAACCTGGGGATGAGAAAGAGTCCAGTTTTGTCCAGTTCTTGGACTCATGTCCTAGACACAGCTCCCCACCAAGTCCACATCACAAACTTGAGATGAGGTACCCTTGAGTCCTTCCCACTCCCTTGGGTTGGCCGGTCATACCTGAGCAGATGTGTGAGCCAGCGAGCAGGCATGGCCCACAGGAGGTAGGGCAGTGTGTGGAAATACCAGACGTAGAACTGGTAGTGGAGGGAACGGCTGAAGCAGATGCCAATGAAGTTGGAGGTGAAAAGAGTTGAAACAATCTGTATGTGGTGGTCAAGGCCAAGGGCAGGAGCAAAAAATGCAGAAAGTGGGGCAAGTCTCGAAGCACAGGCGTAAAAGTTTTGGGGTAAGCTCTGCCCTTCTTCATGCCTGTGGGCAAGATTTCTAATCTCCCCAAATTTGTTCCTCAAATAGTGCCTGTGTGTTTGACTCTGTCATTACTAGCTGTGTGACCATGGCAAGCTACTAACCTCTTAAAAGCCTTAATTCTGTCATTTTTAGAACAGGGATTTTTTTTTTCATTTGTAAAACTCAGAGCTTTATATGTTAGAACATGTATATATAATAGAGTTTTACTCAAGCATAAAGGAAAATAAAGTCCTGGTGCCTGTTACAATATGGATGAATCCTGAAAACATGCTGAGTGGAATAGACATCAAAGTTTGCCAAGTGTTTACTAGGAGTAGGCAAGAGGCTTGGAAAAGAATGACTCAATGCTTAGGGGACTCTTAGGATGATGGTATAACCAGGGAACAAAAAGGGGTGATGGTTGAACAATATAATGAACATAACTGATGTCATGAACTATAAAACATGTAAAGATTGTTGAGTTGTCAAGTATTTTCTTACATATATATTTACTACAATTTAAAACCAAATAAAATATGCACATCTCTTAGGACAGTACCTGGCAGAGAATGGACACTCAGTAATAGTAGTTACTAATGGTACTATAAGGAACTCTGCTGGCCAATTGGCAAGGAGTACAGCTCAAATCCACCAGCTGCTCGGCGGGAGAAGGATTGACAATCTCCTGCTGTGTGATTAACTGCCTCTGAAAACCCACTGAAGGGTCAGTTATAGGTTGGTTCCAACTCAATGGTATACAACCACAACAATTGGTAGCTTATTAGTTTATATATTATTTAGGATTAAAAATAAAATATGCTTAAATGTGCACACTGTTAGGTACCGAGTAGGAGCTTTATGAATGGGCCTTGGCGCTACTACTCGTAGTGGCCCTTCCCCCTCTTTGTCCCACCAGCCATCGACCTGGTCTCTAAGCAAGGCTCACCTTCCCACGACTTAAAGGATATGGTTGGGTGTGAGCGGCTGGGGTGGAACCTTCCTTTTGGAGGGATCCTTCAGCAGTGACAGGATACTTTCCCCTGTCCTGAGGAGAAGCCAGTTAGACATTTATCAAGACCTCATCATGGGCCAAGTGCTAGACTCAACCTCGAGATTAAGCAGCCCCTGAGGTCTAGATCCTTCACTCTTCCCCCTAAATCTGTCTGTGGCCCTGCATCCCTTCTTACCTGTGCCACCTACAGAGAGCAAAGAGCAAGAGCAGACTGAGGTGTACAGCCAACAGGGCCAGGTGGAAGGTGCGATTCAGGAAGACAGCCTCAGGCAGGAAGCGCCAGTTGACTGTCCAACGGAAGAGAAACTGGCGGCCAAGATCAAAGGAGCGGGACAGGTAGCCAACAGGGTTCTCCAACAGGAAGGGCAGCCCCAGTGCCACCTGAGGGGGAGCTGATGTCGGCAGGTGTGTCCGGGCTTAACCCCCCCACCCCCACCCCCGGCCTTGTGTCAATCACTGGGGGAATGAGGTTCCCTCATCTCTACAGGAACAGCAGGAAAATCAACCCTACTCCCAACCCAAGGCTAGAGCCTGGGTCCAAAGAAATGGAGTAGGCAGGTAATACATCTTGTGTTAGGATTCACCAAGTTATAAAACTAGAATGGTTCTCAGAGGCTATCAGATCAACACTCTTATTCTACAACAGAGGAGAATGAAGCCCTGAGGTACTGGCGGCCCAGTCCAGAACCAACTCTGTAACTCCATGTCTACTGGATTTGAGGATATTTCAAGGATGGAGAAAGAACACTAGGCAGAGTGGTCTTCCTTCATTAGAAAGGGGAGGGGACGAGGTGAGAGTACTGTACCTGAAGGACAGCACAGATGCCCAGCTTGGGTAGGGCCCCACGGAGGCCAAACTTCAGAAGAAGGAGGAACAGTAACCCGGGGGCGAAGAGCAGCACATTCATCTTCACTGAAACTGCCAGACTGGGGTGGGAAGGGGAGGGGAGAGGAGGGAGGGAAATGAGCTCCAGGCTCTGCACCCCACCCAAAGATGTCCCCCAACATCAGTACGTCACATTGCCCACCACCTCTAGAAAGCTCCAGACTGGAGCTCACACTAAGAACTACTAGGCGAAGGGGGTCAGATGCCAGGTGTCTGTGCCCAGAATGAATGGCAAGCATGTATTAAATATTTAGAATATACAAGATCCATCTCCCAACAATGGATGCTGCTGAAGGTGATGCAGGTGAGCCCAGGGAGGGCTTTCTACGGATCCTGACTGACCAACACTGGCCACTCTCTTAGCCTGTCAGCAGGAAAAATTGGGAAGAGATGGCCATACCAAAAGTGAGAGAGGGGGCCAGAAGGGAGGGCTCACAACCTGAAACAGCAGCAGCCCCAGCTCCAGCGCTGAGCCAGCAGGAGGTTGATACTGAGGAAAAGCAGTGCCATCGCCACGGGGTCATTAAAGAGCCTCAACACAAATATGGAGTGGACACGGTAAGAGGCACAGCACATGAAGAAAAAGACAAAGGGAGGTACCTGAGGGGTAGACATAGTAGGGAACAAGGTCAGTTCAACAGGCCTGAACCATCCTCACTCCCTGACACTCCCAGCTCAGGGATCCTGGGTGAGGTGGCCTTACTTTGCAGGTCTGGTGGTAGATCCAGAAGACAAGCAGCAAGGTAGCCAGGTAGAGCACTGCAAAGATATGCTGGGCTACGCGGATGTCAGTGCCCCGGCCAGTGGCATAATACAGTCCCATAAAGATATACACAAAGCCAGCTGGGTACCTGGAAGATGGGCGGGCCACGAGCCTAGGTCAGGCCACTCAGCCTGGGACCCAGCCTGTCTCTTGCAGTCCTCCCAAGCCTACTATTCACACTCACACAAGAGGTCCAGTGTCCCCCTGGAGCTGTGTGTAGTCATAGGTGCCGTTGATTACTCCCTCCACCTCAGCCATGTAGGCCTTCCAGTCAATCTCTGTGTCTGGAATTGGATAGGATGGTTACTTCCAACTCAAAATCTCACTGCCCCTACACCTATAGTCCAACAGACCAAAGTGTTAACTCATTCTCAGGACTACCATCATTATTCTATCATGTGACCCAGCCCTTTTCTGTTAAGTTCCCAACTACATATCTGTTTTGATTTCTTTCTCTGAGTGATATCAGGCGTCTCAAACTCACTATATCCATAGTTGAACTCATGATCTTTCCTCCCACCCAGATCTGCTCCCTTTCCTTAGTTCCATGCATGGCACCATCAACCACCCATCTGCCCAGGTCACAAACCATTAATACTTTTCTTCTCTCTTTTCTAATTCACAATCATCACACCCTATAGATTCTTTATCTAAATATTTGTTTTATCCTTCTCTGACTCTAACCTCAAATTTGGGCCTCACACGGTCTCTAGCATCCACAAAGCTATAATCCCGCTTCCACTTTCATAGCACAATTTATTTTTAAAACTTGTAGCCAGGTTCTTTTCCAAAGTACCAAGGTGATTACATATTTCTGTATATAAAATTCTTCAATTATCTTCCATAGCTCTTAAGATAAAGATCACCCCCTTAATCTCATGTTTAAGGGAGGAATCCAAGAGTTAATGAGGTTAAGTCACTAGCTTACAATCATTTAGCTAGTATGTGGTAGAACTGGAACCAGAACGTGGGAGGTACGCCAAGGATCTCACCACTAAGGTTTGGCATGTTGCACTGCTAACCAAAAGGTCAGATGTTCTCAATCACCAGCTGTTCCAAAGGAAGTAGATGGGGGAGTCTCCTCTGTTTAAGATTTATAGCCTTGGAAATCTGATGGAAGGTCACTGTGACTTAATGGCACTTATGAATTTGGTTTTCTTAGACTAACTACATCCATCCTCAACCAAGCTTATAAATCCTTTTATGATATGGTTCCAATTTACTTCTGCAATCTCAACTTTGACTAACACCTTCACTTGATTTCTATGTTGCAGCCCTAAAAAACCCCCACCCTATTCCAGCTTCTTAAAGACACCAGACTTTCTCTTTTGATAGCAGTTCTTTGAAAAGGAATCCTCAACTAGCTCCTACCTTTCAGGGAGACTGAGAGACTTTATTCCTAGATCCCTTGACTTCTCAGTTCTGGCTTAACGATCCCTTTTAGATCCTTTGTAACTCTGTCTTTACTACCATAATGAACACGATGTATTTTAATTGCCTGCTAATGTATCTTGGTCAAAGGTCAAACATTCAAGGTGGAAACATATTCACCAATATGTGCCCCTAGCACTAGCATAAAGTTGTTATAACGCCAGTTGAGCCAAGTACAACTCACAGTGACCCTGGGAACGGGACAGACTGACAGTGATTGCAACAATGGGCTTGACTCAGAGATGATAAGAATAATGTTAGGCACAGATATAAATGTTGAATTAATCGCCTTTAGCAAGAAAGATCTTGTTGTTGTTTGTGCCGTCGAGTCGCCTGCGACTCATAGCGACCGCCTTAATTCCAGTGTCTCGATTCCACCTGGAAAGAAAGTACCATCTGGTTTTAAAAAGTCGGGCAATGCCAGCGCTAAGAAAGGGGTTTAGAAATCAGAATTTAACAGATGAGAAAGTTGAAGCTCAGCTGGGGAAGTGGCTTGCCTAAAACCAGAGTTAGTTACTGCAGTGCCTTAACTCAAAACACAGGTCTTCTGTCAGACTGGTTTTCTTAGCATGACAGTTTGTACATTCAAGACAGAGGATCCATCTCCATCCAGGGCTATCCATTTCCTTATGGACAGAGTTTCATTTCTAATAGGTTCAGAGCTTGAGTAAGAGATATGAATTTGCAGTCAATGGATGAATGGGTCTGAGTCAGATCCGGTTGGGGTTTCAAGTCCCTCCCGCTCTTCCCCTTCCCTCGGCGCACTCACATGCCACCCTGTGAATGACCCAGAAGGTGATCCCCACCTCCGCTAAGCAGAGGCAGGCGGCCACCAACAACGTGTAGCGAGGCTCCACCAGCAGCAGGCGCCGCTCTTGCCAAGCGCGCCGCAGCCACTGCTCGCAGCGACCTGCGGCTCGGACTGCTGCACCAGCCCGTCCGCGTTTCCGCAGCCCAGCCGCCATGTTGATGGTGCACCGCTTGTGTTGACCCGCCGCCCAGGAAACTCGATCCCTGAACACTTAAGTTCCGCTCTCGTACTGAAATCCCGAGGAACTCCGCGCTAAACCTAGTTTGTCAGTCATTATCACGTGAAAAATTACTTCCCTTCACATCTCCCCTGCTGGATTGCACCTTCTGCGCGAGCAACAATTAAGTCTTACTCCTCATTCTGTATTCAGTCCTAGGCACACTTCTAATGTGGACTAAGCATTTACTTAAGAAACGACAGATTCTGCTCCTTCAACCAAACCCAGCTTCAAGCTTCGCCTCTTCTGGGAATGTTTTCACGAGGGTCTCTCCTGCACACACACGCTCCATCTCCAGTCCTTTTCCCATTCCACCTCCTCTCACCTCATCCCATCCCAACCTGCCTTTCTTCAGATTTTTCTAAGTTCTCTAACGGTTTGGGAAATTGTCTCTCACTACTTTTAAGATTCCATAATAGAAGGAGCCAATCAAGCTAAAAATATTAAAAGAGACAGTAATAACTGGTCTCAGACAAGAGAACATAGTATAAAGGCTAGGAAATCTTTATAAGCCGGAGGATTCTTACAAGTGCGCCCATCAGAGCACGGAAGTTCCACGTGTTTGTGTTGAACAACTGCAGGTGGTTGGCGGGGGCCACCGAGGCCCCGCCCCCACACATTACCATCCGGATTGGCTACATAGGCGCCAAGACCCGCCCACAGGAGCTGGCTGTGTGGTGTTGGTCAGGCCCTCGTTGCTGCTGCAAGTATGGCCTCTCCCGGGGCTCCGTCCACCCTGCCAGAGTTACCGGAGCGCAACTGTGGGTACCGCGAGGTCCAGTACTGGGACCAGCGCTATCGAAACGCTGCCGACTCCGCTCCCTACGAATGGTTCGGAGACTTCTCTTCCTTCCGTGCCCTTCTGGAGCCGGAGCTGCGGCCGGGGGACCGGATCCTCGTGCTAGGTGGGTAGTTCTGACTCTGTCCTGCTCAGGTGAACCTAGCTGGAGCTGTCTGCTTTCCATCTTCCTGTCCTAGTTCGAAGCCAAGATCCTGTACCTTCAGAGCCTTGGTCGGATATATAACCGACCAGAATAGGCAAACAGAAACCAAGCTATTCTGAGTGCGGGGCCCCTCTGCCGAAACTCTGGGTCTGAGTGTGGGTGTGATTCAGGATGTTGCTAGGGAGGTAGCAGCCAGACAGTAGTTGGCTGTATGACTTGGGATAAACTGGGAATTTGTGGGACCGCGGACTCGAGATAAATAAGACACGTTGAGACACCTCGAGCACAAAACCTAGCCTTTTCCCTTTGTGCACATGGGATCCGAGCGCCTTTGTCACCCAGAGAGGGCATCATCTCCGTACTCCAAACTCTGACTCTTCTCACTTCCCCAGTACTGTGAGGGGAAGAACAGCTCCTCCTCTGGCCAGAGAGGAGATTGCAATCGAGCTTGAAGCTATTCTCTGAACCAACCGAATGCAGGGAAGCCGCGTGTCGTTGAGGTCTTTCTGGGTTCTTTCGCATTGTCAGCCTTCGAGACTCTACTGATAGTTGGTTGAGCAACAGATTTCCTTCCAATTATATGTTTCACATTTCTCCTATTAAAACCATTTCATTTCTACAAATAGAAATACTTCATAAATATAAAACAAATATGTCTAGTATGTGTATGTACTCTAATTAATTTAGGAAATAGAACATTCCTAGCAATGGAATGGAAGTTGATCTAGTGGTTAAGAATTTGGATTCCGGAGGTAGCTAATTATGCCAAAATTTTAGCTTTGCTGACACTAGAACAAAATATTTCTATTTCTGCGCCTGTGTTTTCTCAGCCTTAAATGTTATTGTTAGATACTGTCAACTGTGACTCACAGCGATCCTAGGAACAACAGATTGAAACCTTGCCCTATCCTGTGCTATGCTCAAGCTCACCGCTGCAGTCACTATGCCAGTGCATCTTGTTGAGGGTCTCTTCTCTTGTGCTGACCAGCATAATAAATATGAGTGTTTCTTTATTGTTGTTGTTGTTATGCACTGTCGAGTAAGAACCGACTCGTAGTTGAACTTCCAGTAGGTTTTTAGAGGCACTTTTAATCTCATGGAAGGAGATTGCCCATCTTTCTCCCTTGGAGCAGCTGGTGGATTTGAATAGAGTGCTTTCAGTCTGGCAGCAAAAATCCTTACAGCGCTCCCAGGATTCTTTATTAGGTAGTTAAGATGATTACGTGAGAATGAGGAGATGCACAGAACAATTCATAGTAAAGAAAAAGTTTCCGTTCCACCTAAAGAGTCACAAATGTGGATTAGCAGGAGAAAATACACATAAAAACCTAAGGATACACAGTAAATAGCAGTCACTCAGTGTTCACTGCAGTCATATGAGGAGTAAGTGTGGAATGAAAGTGACTGCTTCCACTCTTATTTGATCATGCAGATGGATGTAGACAGCACAGAGAGGCATCTGGAACTTTGCTGGAACTGGTAAAAATGATCACATGGTGAATTACAACCCAATGATCATATTGATATCACACTTAAGATGCACTGTCACCACTGAAGGTGAATGGGCCTCTTGAAAATTGGAGACGATTAAGAATTAGGGTTTAAGAGCTCTGGCTCTGGATTTAGACAGGCCTGGCCTCGGTTCAAATCATTGACTACCATTGACTGAGAGAAGGTTCTTTTTCCACTTCGGACAGCTTCAGTTTTCCCACCTAGACAATGGAAATATAGAGAGAGCATTGTGAATGAAAAAGAGCAAAATTCAGTAAAAGAGATTGGCTCAGGGCTGAAACATAGCCCTGTGCAGGGCTGGGCAAGGACGATGCAGGACTTGACAGTTCTTCATTCTATTCTCTGTAAGGTCACTATGCATTGCGGCTTTACTTGATACCTAGCAATTGTGAAAATTAGCAGATAATGCTTCTCAAATGTTTAGTATTAGCATCTGGTGTTCAATAACTATTATTATTATTGGAAGTGAGACTCTAAGACTGATCAGCAGGCAGAGACTCCTTCCCAAGGATTTGGGTGTCTTTTCCCCGTGGCTAGAATAGCCTCCTGGCAAGTGACTGCGTCTAGCCATCACAGCTTTACTGTCACTACACTCCTCGGATTCTCCTTCTTTGCGTGGTTCCATGTTCCACAGGAATTGTCTGATCATAATTTGACTGCTCATTCACTTGTCCTTTAGGGAAAGAAAGGGAGCTCTGGTGGCCTAGAGGTAAGGAATTGTGCTTCCATAAACAGTTTGGATCCACCAGCTGCTCTGTGGAAATAAGATGGGCAGTCTCTTCCTGTGTAATTTACAGTCCCCAAAAATGCACTGGAGGGTCAGCTCTGAGTCAGTTCCCACTTGGTATAACAACATAGAGAGCGGAAGGACTGACTGGAGGATTCAGTCGCCCAGTCCCCATCAGAGCTGTTTTACTGGCTTAAATTAGTGGGTTGACATGCTAATTTATGCTGTAGAGACTTGGTACTGGGTTAGCAGCCATCTACCTTTGGGCCTCCATGGGTTTTGGGATCTGGTCCAGTACTACAGGGTTCTGCTGATCTAAGACCCCCCTGGGAGGCAGTGTCCTTCCCAAGTTCCATTTTAGTTGCTGACCCTAAATCACTGGAGGAGTAGAGTCAGAAATTACTGATTTGTGAGCGTGACTGACCCTGTGGTAGGATTTTGTTTTCTCTTCACCTTTAGTAATGCTTTCTTTGAAGAGTCCATCCTGTACCACAAGGAACAGAGAGATTTGTTTACAATTGGGTGAAGCGCTGCAGCATATAAATCAGGTGTAGAGATGGTAAATGGAAGGCAAATCCAAGAATCTAGTGGGTTTAAGTTTGAAATTGAGTTAGTGTCTTCTGGGCAGCCATCTCCCACCACAGCCCAATGGGATGTGTCTGCCAGAGCTGTTTGTGGCTCCAGCATGGAGAAGCACATGACAAGGGGCAGGTGAAGACTGGTTGGCTGCTTCTGGGTACCCTGTCTGGATGCCAAGCCCTGCTAGATTAGGGCTATCTTGGCAGTTGATCCTGTGATCCTCTTAGAGGCAAATGGGGATTAAAGACAACCTAATTCCCAGAGCCGGGGATCCCCACACAGAGCTGCCCAGAGCTGTGATCTCGGTCCATCATAGCTGAGTCTGGCCAAGGGGGTGGGGGTGGAGGGCCTGGAAGAGGCCAAAAGATCTAAGGAGATCTACAGCCACTCCTCATCTCCACATCTTTCCTCAACTGACCTTGCCCTCTCCAGAACTGCTTTCCAGGCATTTCTGCCATAGTGTGACTTTTCAAGACTGCTTGGCTGTCAGCTTCCCTGAAACCCTTTGCCAACCATGTGCTTAGGAGGCCTATCACTTTAGAAGAACTTATTATATACCAGATGCCCCTTATCAATTTACTCCTCTTGAGGGCAGGGACATCATCATCAAAACCTGGGGGAAACACAATATCCTACTTAGTTGGTCTTTGTCCTTGGTTCCTGGGAGATAATCACAAGCCCTTGGCATTTCCCCAGCAATCATGCTAATTGTAATTAACTGTGTTAATGATTTGGATTGGGACTGACTAGTCAGAAAGACTTACCAAGTAGTATCAGCCTGGCTTGGAGGAGAGTGTGGGGGCCGGGGATATGGGAGGCAACTTTGAGGTTAAGTTCAACCTCAAATGAGGTGATTCAATCTAGCACGCCTATGCAATGAAAATGTCAATAAAAACTGGACATTGAAGTTTATGGAGCTTCTTGTTTGGTGAAAGGAGAATTCAGAAGAACTCTCCAGGGTTCACATCTTGGGAGCCGGAAGTTCCTTGTTGGAGACCCTCCTGGATCTCACCTGATCTGTCTATTTATATTCTTTTTGATATAATAAAACTGTACCCAAACATTTTCCTCAGCTCTGTCCATCATTCTAGCAAATTATTAAATCTAAGTGGGTTTGTTGTTATTGTTAAGTGCTATTTTGACTACAACTCATAGCGACCCAGTGCACAGTAGCTTTGAATCCTGCCTTATCCTGAGCCAATCTTATCTTCTCTGGCACACCTACTCCCATTATCCTGGTCACTGAGTCCATCCATCTCCTCTGGGGTCTTCTTCTCCTGTGCTGTCCCTTGACCCTACCAAGCCTGATACCCTTCTCCAGAGACTGGTCCCTCCTGGCTTCATGCCCAAAGTATGTGAGATGGAGTTTCAAAATCCTTGCCTCCAAGGAGCAGCTTGGTTTCACAATCTCTGGGATAGACCTGTTAGTTTGCTTGGTAGTACAGGTGACTTGTTTGTTATTTTGGCAATCCATCTTCAATATTCTTCTCCAGCACCACATCTCAAAGGCATTGATTCTTCTGTCATCCTTAGTCAGTATGCAGTTCTCTGATGCATAGCAAGTAATTGCGAAGACCATAGCCTGGATTAGGTGCACCTTAGTCTCTATACTGACATCTTTGGTCTTCAATGCTCTGGATAGGTCCCTGATAGATTTTCCTCATGCAATTCGACTTTTGCTTTCCTAACTGCTGGTGCCAAGAGTGGGTATAGAAACCCTAAATTTGTAACCAGAGAGTCATAAATGAAGAAGGCCTGGAACCCCCTAGACCTACAATCATTGTCCTGAGGGGGTAGTGGGAACCCTGGTATTTGTAGCCAGCAAGTCATAAGTAAGGGTATTATGGGAACCCTCAAGCTTGAGATTGGCATATGAAGTTGTAGGCATATTTGACAGTCTGAATTGCTGTCCCTTTAGCTTGTGAGATCTCAACTAACCCCATTAGTTCAAGTCAGAACTGCATGCACAATTGGTATCAGAAGGGGCAATGTTGGAAGACAAAGAGGCATAGTATATGAAGTATTGGGTTGCTAACTGAAAGGTCAGAAGTTCAAATCCTCCAGCTGCTCCATGAGATAACGATGAGTAGTCTCCTCCTGTAAAGATTTCTAGGCTTGGAAACCTGACAGAGGGTTGCTGTATGTTAGAACTGACTTGACAAACAGTAGATTTTTAAGTTGGTACAAGATAGCCATATAAACAGATTCTCAGAGCGCAGTATGTAGTGTTCAACAACACATTAAGGACTCATTAGGGATCTGTTTCATTGTGTATGCCCACCTAGTTTCCCCTTCACCTCCTAATTCTTCCTCAGATTTTGAAAAGGATCCCTGGTGGCTAAGTGGTAAGGAGTTATGCTGCTAACCCAAAGGCCCATAGTTTGAATCCACAGGAGAAAGATAACTCGTTGGTACGTAACAATAATTTCAACACCAAGCTTTCTGAAAGATGGTATCTTCAGAGGTTCCTTGAGAGGTTGAAGACCAAGATAATGATATTATCTTTATTACTAGCTCTGGTGGCCTAGTGGGTAAAAAATTGTGCTAACTCAAAGGCGGGTGGTTCAGATCCACTGGCTGTTCTGCAGGAAAAAGATGGGTAATCTCCCCATGCAATTTACTGCCTCTGAAAACATGCTGATGAGTGGGTTCCAGCTCATGGACACATACCAATATCTTAACAGTAACATTAAAGGAGCTCTGATATGACAATAGTTAAACACAGCTACTAACAACAACAACAACAACAAAAATCATCAGCCCCTCAAGGAAGAAAACACCTGGCAATCTGCTTCCATACATTTTACAGCCCAGGAGACCCTTTGGGGCAATTTTGCTGCTGCTTGTTGGGTTTCTCAGAGTCAGAATGGCACACAATAACAACAACAAATAGTTTATCATCCCAATATTATTGTCCTAATGATACCAATATGCTCCCCACTCTGAGTTTGAAGAAACAGACTCAAAATGTTGAATGGCTTGCCATGGCCACAGGACTACATATATCAGAACCCAGATCTTTGTTCAGAGCTCCAGCTTCTCTCTAGCTGTTTTAGTTCTTCAGTGTTCCACATCCTACATGGGTGCAAAGTGTTATCTTCATTTTTTACATATAGGAAACCTAAAGTGTCCAACCAACTTTCTCTAGTTTGGCCAACTAGGAATGGTACATTGAACCTGTCTGTGTCTGTATGACTTCAAGGCTCACACCCTTACCTGTAATACCCAGCTTCACCCTCAGAGGGTTTGTACTTAGAAAAAAATAGGGCCAATAATAGATGAGTAATCAGGGAAAACTGGAAAGCAAAACTAAGTCCTTTGCCAACCCCTTCCTCATTCCCAGGCTGCGGGAACAGTGCTCTGAGCTATGACCTATACCTCGGAGGCTTCCCTGATGTGACCAGTGTGGATTACTCATCAGTAGTCGTGGCCGCTATGAAGATTCGCTATGCCCATGTACCCAGGCTGCGCTGGGAGACTATGGATGTGCGGACACTGGACTTCCCCAGTGACTCCTTCGATGTGGTGCTTGAGAAGGGCACACTGGATGCCTTGCTGACTGGGGAACAAGATCCTTGGACTGTATCCTCTGAAGGTGTCCACACTGTGGACCAGGTTTTAAGTGAGGTGAGGGAGCAAGCAATAAAAGAGGAAGGCAGATGGGAGGTGAGACTGAAGGATTGAGGTTTCAGGAGACTGGAAGAACAGGCTGGAACATGAGTTAAACCAAACAATGGGCCATTCTCAGGAATGTGGTTCCCTGGAGGAAGGATAGTTAATCTGGGTCAGGATTGGAGGGGACTAGAGTGCTCACATAGGCTGATGATTGGCTACTGGGTTGCTATAGGGATGAGGTAACAGCCAGGTACCAGAGAGATGACAGACTGAGAGGGTGAACACTTGACAAGAAAACGATACCTCCTATACCTTAATCACTCTCATGCTCTCACTTGTCCTGAATACATCCCCACATCCAAGGAAGGAGCTCACTTTATTCCCAGGGAAAGCCCAGAGCTACTTGGAAGTAGCATAGTAACTGAAGTTTGACTGAAAGATCACCTGGGTCACTACTGACCTTTGATGACTTGGCGATCTTCATCAGTGGCTTCTGTTTCCCTTGCAGGTGAGTCGTGTGCTGGTTCCTGGGGGCCGGTTCATTTCACTGACCTCTGCTGCCCCCCATTTTCGGACTAGGCACTATGCCCAACCTCATTATTGCTGGTCCCTGAAGCATACAACCTATGGCAACGGTTTCCACTTCCATCTCTACCTTATGCATAAGGGCGGGGAACTAAGTGCAGCCCAGATGGCCCTAGGAGCCCAGATGCACTCGGCCCCTAGTCCTTTAACCTCACCTTGCTTCCTCCAGGACTCTGATAATGAGGACTTTCTCAGTGCCATTCAACTGTGAGGCCATAACCATGACCCTCTAGCCTCTGCCCTGGGCTCCTCAAGTGGGCTGGATTTCTTGACTTCAGGACGTGGGGGTAGGGTCCAAGGTGCTCATATTTCAAAGTCTCATTCCTAGGAGCAAGCCCACATGAACCAGTCCATCCCAAGTCAAGCTTGATTCAAAATCTTGGGCTTCTCATTTCCCAGATTTCTCCTAGGTTCCCCAAACAGCTTCCCCAAGATTCTGCACTCCCCATCCATTTATCCACTGAGGCAATGCTCAGTACATCCCCTCTGGGATGCCAGTCCAGCATACATCCCTAGATCCTCATCCAATCATGATTTATCCACAAAACACTTGGAATCTAGATAGTTCTGTGTTTTTGATCAAGCTACAACTCCAGAGACCTGTCCTGCTTAGAGTGTACTGGGGCCTTCTTTAGCCAACCACCCCATCCAGCAACATGCACCTGAAATGGCCAAGTGCCTGTTGGCTTACCAAAAAAAAAAAAGGTTCGTGGCCATTTTTGCCTGGCTCCTGAGCAGACAGAAGCAGCCGTCATACACATACACACAGGGAAGTCTGTGTTTATTCACACACTCCTGGTACAGTAAGGATGAAGGAACATTTACAAAGAACGCCCCTGGGTCGAGAACATCTCCAGGGCCATAGGTGTCATCCAAAGGTGCAGAACAGTTCCCATTTGGGTCCCCAGGGGCTGAACGCAGGGGTCCAAGGTAAAATCAGGTCTGGGCCCGTGGAAGGTGATACCTTGCGGGGAGGAGGAGTCTGCCAGAGAGCCATCTGAAGCCAGGCCTGGGGCAGACTGGCCATGTAGTTAGTTACCATGTTGGGGGCTTATCCCACACCAGCCTCAACACCATCCTATCTGCCAGGCGCAGAAGAGCGTGGCTGAGACCGTGGGGGGAGGGCATGAACCATGAGCGGAGCCAGTAAACAAAGAGTCGGATATAAAAATACAAATGTGCTGAGGAAGTCCCTTAGAAAGAGGCTTAGAATGGGGTCACGCCAGACAAGGGTAGGGGTGAGGAGTGGCCCCGAGAGGGCTGGGCTCAGGTGGGTGGGAAGCTCATGCAAATACGCAGCCAAACATCCCTGGCCGCGCGCGGTCCGATGCCTGCCGGTCGCCTGGTCTGCAGACCAGAGCGGCCGGAGAGGGGCGGGGCAGGGGAGCCGTGCGGGAGGGGACGGGCCGGGGGCTGGGAGCCGCGGGTCTCTGTGTCCGTTCCAGTGTGCGGGGTGGGGCTGCGGCCCGAGGTTCTAAAGTGCATGAGCGCGGCGGCGGGCTCCGGGCTGGCCCACGCCGCTGCTACCGCCGCCGCCGTGGTGCTGAAGCGGACAGCTCCGAAGTGTCTGACGGCGGCGGCAGCAACACTGACCCGGTGGTGGCAGCGCGGCCCTGCAGCCCCCGCCCGCGGGCGCCGGGGCCGGGGCGGGTGTCGCCGGCAGCCGCATCACCGGCCCGCGCTCCTGGCCGCTGCGGGGCTGGGCCCGGAGCCCGCCGCCCGAGCCGGCGCGTCTACACTCCAGACGGTGGCTTCTCCCCCATCCCCTTCAGCACGTCGTCTATCCGGTCATCCTCGATCACCACTGCGCAGGGAGAAAGCGCGTCAGCCGCGCGGCCTCGGGGGGCGGTGGCGAGGGTGGGCTCTGCGTCCTCGCGCCCCACGCAGCTCCTGCCAGTGGCCCCTTGGACCCCATAACCAAGGCTCACTCGCCCCATCCCAAATCTTTTAAGGACTCGGGCCGCTGCCAAGCCTGGTTCCCACAGACCCATTCCTATGATGAAACGCCCCTCTTCCGAAGGCTCCCGCCATTCAGCCTCCCCGTCCAAATCTTCCTGCCATCTGAACTCAATAAAAACCTTTTGATCATTTAATTCCCCTTCTTTAGCCTTCTTTTCAAGAGAAGCTCCCCTCCTCCTCTGCATTCCAGTGGAATCTCCGGCCACTCCGACCCTCTCCCAATCTTGTTCTTGCTGCTTGACTCCCTCTTAGATCTTGGCGCTAACAGAGCCCCCTCCCCACGCAGACCAGCGAGACAACCAGATCTCCAGCCTCCTTGCCCGCTCTCCACTCGGGCGCCTCTCCCCACCCAGAGGTTCCTCGGTCAGCACTCCTGGCTGATCTGTAGAAACATGCTGCCGCTCTGCGTCCCCTCTGCCAGGCAGCCCCAAATGCCCCGGCCGGCCCCTCCCCCTCGCCCCGTCCCAAAGCTCCGCTTTCCGAGGTGGCGAGCATCGAATCCGGGCCACCGCGTTCCCAGGAGGGATTAAGAGGGGGACACTACACTGCAGCGGGACACCCCCCCCTGCCCCACGCCGGGCCGGAGGAGCGGCTGGCTGCGCGGGGCTGCGGCAGGAGCTGCGGGCGCTCGGCTGGGGACGGCAGGCGTCAGGCACCAGGAGCAGGGTTTCTGGGTCAGGCGACGACTCTGGGCCCCGGTCCCGTACCTCGCTTGGCTCGGCCGATCTGGCCCAGCTTGGGGGGTCGTTTGGCCTGGTTGCCCGCGAAGAAGGAGTTGGTGTCCTGCAGACGGCAGCTGAAGGAAAGGTCGGAGCTCTCTGGATCGGCGCCGAAGCGACCCATCTTGTCTTCGCTATAGGGCAGGATCTCGGACATGGTGGGCGCGGGGCGGGCGCTGGACTGCGGCGGGCGGCAGGCGGCGGGCTAGGTGCCGGACCGGCCCTAGCTCAGCGGGGGAGCCGGCGGAAGGATGAAGTCATGCAGCATCCGGGGCTGAGGAGCCAAGCGCGGCCTCCTCCCCCGCGCCTCCGCCTCCCGGGCCGCTGGGCAGGC